TCCAGCAGAAGGCATGCCGTAGTCAGGACTCTTGACTCACAGCACTGTCTATGCACTGTGATCTACAGGGTTCTGCTTGGTTAGTTCCGGAAGTAGGGCGCCATGCCTTCTCTCCTAACTTGTCTTGGGCTGAAGTTCTCCTAAACCTTGTCTACCACCGGCCACCTTGCTGGTATTTTAAATACTAGCAGCACCGTTTCCATGTTTCTCCTGGGGAGAGAGGTTCGGAGTTAAAACTTCCAACCTTTCAGTTAGTGGTCCAGTTGTTCAAGCACTGTGCCACCAGGACACTGTAGGCAGCAAACAGGCAACAGAATTTCCCAGGTTCCTTACACAAATGGGGAGCAGCGAGCTCTTCTCCCTTAAGCACAGGTTTTTGTCTTTAGATGTTGTCTCTTCTAAGACCAGCCCAGCAGGAAAAACTTCCCATGCGGCTCCCCAGCCAGAGAGGTGCCTGCTCATCCCTGTTCTTTATTTCTAATCTTTGACTCAACTGTTGTTTGGTGGGGGGACGGGGGCGCTTGTCAGGATCTCTTTAAGCAGCCCAGTTCCATTTTTGTTGGGCTTCAAATATCCCCAAGAGGTATCTACCGCCCCACAGAACGCCAGCTGATCAAGGTGGTACGAACTTCCCCTACTTCAACCATGGTAATTTTCCCTCAACAGATTGTCTTTGTTTAAAGGTTCCCCGAGGGGACCCTTCCTGGCACCCTTTCAGACAGGGTGAGGGGAGGCTCTCCTGGAGAGAGTGGACGGGGTCACCTGAGTTAATGTTCCAAGCTCACGCTTGACAACAGTTCTTCCACAACTGGTACATAGACACCACGTGATCCCCACTGCTGTCTGTCATCCCAACTCTTTCTGCTTCGAAGTTCCAGGAGCCACCGTGAGAGGGTACTAACCTTTTCACAGAGATTTTTCTCCAGGTGGCCCTTGATTCCTTCACCTGAATTCAGATCAGTTGAAGTCAATCGAGGCCTTCCATGGACCATTGACTAGGATGTCAATCAAGGTCAGCATGGTTCTCTACGTGACAAGCAGGAGGAGGCCTACTCCTTCCTGATGGCTTCAAGCAACAGGGAGTGAGGTGGAGAGGGAGTCAAGTATATGTAGTATTTAAAAGGGATAGCAACGTCTGTTTCAAATCTAGCTCTTTATTGCTTACCTATACCACTCTGGACTAGTTACCTTACTTTTATGCATCTGCAAGAGAGTGATTTCCACCATGCAGGATTGTGTAAGAGAAATGATATGGACCAGCCCTAGTGCCAGGCACACGGCTTCTTCCCGCCTCACTTCTAAGTCAGGATGTTAAGGGTAAACACCCAGTGAAGAATGAGTTTCCATTTTTGTTTCTTTTTTGCTGTAGGCATGGCTCAAAGTCTCTCTGTTGCCAGAGCTTATGGTGAAGTAGTCAGAGACAAAATAGCAAAATGCAAACACTCTTTTGCACTACATTTGAAAAGGCAGTAGAGAGCAAGGACAGGAAAGACCTCTAAAGAGACAGGCATTGAATAAAGGTTGCGATCCCATCATGTGGTTCGGAAAATCTCCCCCTGACAACCAGCCATTTAGTTTCCTGTGCAGAGACCTATCCTAAGAGCCACAGTCTAACTCCACATTCTAAGGGGATGCTGAATAGTTGATTACAGGCAGCAAATCTAAGCAATTACTAAATTAGTCAATCTGAGCAATTCACCTCGCGTTCTAGAATTCTGCAATCCATTTTGTGTGCATGCATGTACCTTCTGGAGGGTTATTTATGAGTCAGTTCTGACTTGACGGCAATGAGTGGTAGCAGTCTATGCATAAAGAAACTCTGGGAGACAACATTCAAAAAAACTATTAACAATTTACCTGGGGTGTGTGGATAATTGAGCCGGTGGGTACAGAAATGGGGAGAATATTCATCTTTCACCTTTATCAACGGTTTGAATTTTAAACGCTGCCTGTAGTGGCAAGAAGCTGCTCTGCAATCTCGAAGGCATGCAGTTTGAATCCACCAGCTGCTCTGTGGGAGAAGGCTGGGCAATCTCCTCCCATGTGATCAACTGCCTTTGAAAACCCACTGGAAGGTCAGCTATGGGTCGGTTGTGACTTGATGGTACACAAGTCCAACAGTGTATTACTTAATTTTAAAAATTAAACCGATCACCTTAAGGCATTTGTTTCACTTATAAACTCCTATGTGGCTCTATCATATTTTCCAGGTAGTTTTAACACATAAAAAGGATTTTTAGAAGGAAGGGAGTAAAATGTGTTTAAAAGCTGAAACTGAATTTTAGAGAGCATATCATAGAATGTAGTTATATTTTTCCCATTATGTTGCAAACTAAAAGAATGTTCTAAGAGTATTTTTATTGTCCAAAAAGTTGTAAAGTCCTACTTGGCAGCTTGGCGTTTGCTTGCTCTCTCCTCTACACATACACTCCTCCCCTGGTAGACACTACTGTTAACTTATTATCTGTTAGCTATCCAAACAAACATAGCTTGCGACTTCTTCGCCCTCCGGCAATGCAGAAGGCAAAGTGGAATCATGTAACGTACTCTCCACCGGTTCCCATTTCGGTTCCGTGATCAGAAATGACAACTCTTCCTTCTTGGAGACTGCTGAGTTACCAAGACCCAGAAACTAAAGTTTAAAAACCAAAGTTGACTCCTTGCACTGCCTTTTTGCATTTATATATAAAAGGTAGGTGCTAATTATTTTGAAATGAGATCTAAGTCTGAAAGTCCTAAGAGGTTTTTCTTAGGGTCCAGAGTCAGGTGAAGTGTTTAAAGGGGGTAGGGGGGGAAATGTGTCTGAAGGGGAGAAAAAAGAACAACCCAACACAAACAAACCCTTCCTATGCTACTGGGACTTCCAGAAAGTCAAATCTTCCCCTAAAGTGGATTTCATTCTACCTTGTACTTTGAACTCTTATGGTCTTGAAACATTCAACTTGTCTTTATTCTTTCTTCCTTTTATCAGGGGAGGGGTGCTTGTTCATTTAAAGCCAAGAGTTATCCAGTCAGACCTGAATGGAAAAATCTATGATTTGTTTATTTCATAGTTCAAGTTCAAAAAGCAAGAGACAATTTAAATAATAAAAGGGTAACAAGAGGGGGGAGGGGAAGCAAAGAAAACAAATCAGTAAGAGTCCAGAAGAACCTTCAACAATATTTAATTCGGAAAATGTTATTGGTTTAGAGAACTTGACTGAAAGAAAACAGCTGGGCAGAGTTCAAGATTTTAAATTAAAAACAATCTAACAAGGTCTATGGGGATAACTCTTTGAGCCACATTTTGGAGACCAGATTCATTTCTACCAAGTAAAAGTAATAGCAGTCTAAGCTAAAAAGGAAATTCCTCACAACTGAGGTAGTTACTAAACATCAGCACATTTTCCAAGTTCTCACAAGGCAGTTTAGCTATTTACAATCCATTTTTCCTCATATATAATAAATGGAGCGCCTTCGAAATTTTGTTTTCTGTGAAAAAAAGACCACTCAAACACACCAGCCAGAATATGCCTATTTTATTAACATCATGCTTTAATAAATAACTGGCTATGTCTAATAAAATTAAGCCTCTGTTTACAACAGCCCCCAATATTCCATGTTGACCATTCTGCAGAATTTGGTGTAAAAAGTTGAATCAAATGTAGACCCTGAGCTATCAAGTAATTACGTTTCAATATAAAAATAGAGGATTACTCTCACAACTGAAGATTGAACAATAAAAAAAAAAAACCAAAAAAACAAAAACAGAACCACCTCCTTGTGGGTTTCAGCTTCGGTAAAATTGGTTGGGGTCATCATAGTTGTCTAAAGCAGGAAGAGACTGACAGAATGGTAATCTTTCAGGGGACTTTTGGTAACTCCTTCTAACATGGATGGTTACATTCTCATAGTGGTATGAGTTGTCATTTGGTAAAGATACAAGGGAAAGGTTCCTACAGGGGTCAAGGTAGTTGTTTTAGTCCTTGGCCTGCGACTACAGATACAGCCTTTGCCAGTTTATCAGTGTGGCTAAGGGTCACCACTAAGATGAAGTTTTCTCAGCTCTACATACCCCCAGCCCAGCCTAGCCTCCCCCAAGAAATCCCCCCTCAAAAAAAACCCCAAAACCAACATGTGCAAAAATCTGGACACCCAGTTCTCTCTCACATGGGCTCCTAGACCCACAAGGTAGCACAGCTGCAAAGCACAGCAAGCCCCTTCTTTTCCTTTCCGATCAAAGGGGGCAGGACAATGAAAAGGCTCAGCTAAGACACTTTAGAATCTCTTAAAAACAACAACAACTGGGATCCAAAGCCAAATGCAAATACACAAGCAGAGGAGACAAAAAACAAAAAAATGTGCTCACGAGTGTTGACAGCGATTCCGCATGCCTAAACTGGACCCCAATTTGGGCTAGCTCCACAGTGTGTCCAAGGTTGGGTTTGAAATTTGGACCATAGTAACAAGGGACCAAAAGAAGATTGTTGGTCACTTACACTACTGGGCTCTCCATCAATGCAAAGAGGGTTGGTGTTGCTAACTTGCCTGGTTCAAAAAGAAAAACCAAAACACCCCTAAAACTAAGTCAGTGTGAACGTGTGAGTAACTGAGACATCCTAAATGCCTTAGATCTTCCAGGGAATATGGATCCAAAATTGTTCTGTCTGGGTTGTACTCGAAGTATAAGCAGGTTCAAGAAATGGGCCTATAGATGGTGTTAGCTTATGTAACTCAATGAAAGGAGGTCTGCTGTCTCCTCCAATCACCAGATAGAAATGAAACCTAACCTTCCCCTTGTATTAATAATTCAATCTGGCGATGGGCTCAGAAGCCACTTGTGCCTTCACATTCTGTCCTAACTTTAAAATAATCAGAGAAAAACCCACCCCAAGTGTGGGGACACCCCCCCTCCTACACTTCTCTCCAGATAAGGCAACTAAAACAAGAGGGATCAATGGCCGTTTTGTTACTTGTTGGGCTTTCCCTTCAAATAAGATACCGTGATAAATAAAACCTGCTTCTGTACAGCTATTTAATATTTCAGAAATACGTACACGTTACATGCCAAGAAAGGACCCTGGTTTTCTTGTAAGAAACAAGGCGAGCTCATAATTGGGGGGGGGAACCCACAAACAAAATGGGGGCAAGGAACCAACAACAAACAAATAGAGTGATAAAATCACAAATGCACAACTAACTACAGTTCTGCACCTACACCGTTAGCCACGTTTAACAGGATGCCAAGGGAACAGGGACCAGCTTAATGTACAAGTCCCTTTTTCTCCCCCAGAACTCAATGGAAAAAATGAAGTCAGCATTATTTTTTTTTTTTATAAACCAGTGGCCACATAGTAAAAACTGCATCTCGTTGTCCATTCATTTTAAAAAGTACAGTCACTAGGATGGTACAAAAGTGATAACCCGGTGCCTTTTCACTCTTTTGACGATGAACACTTTTCCTCCAAGGTGAAGAATTATCTCAACTCTCTCAGCACGATCAGAAGAAAGATGCAGAAGACAGGGAGGAGGTGGGGCTGTAGCCCCAGACCAGCCCCAGCACTGTCGGCTGCTTTTTTCTCATTGGCAGCCTTGCCTGCGTGGTCAGTTGCATTGAACTCAAATTCCGAAGGGCACTGCTGATACTCACATCCACTTCCGCTCCCTTCTCCGCTATTTTCATCACCTGGTTTTGTGGATTAAAAAAAGAGGTGGGGTGGGGGGGAGAGAGAGAAGAGCTTTCATTCGACTTGTACTTATCACAAAGCACACCAGAACCACGTATATATTTTGAAACCACAGCTGCTTACTGATGTCGATGAAGTCCACGTCATTGCCATTGTAAGCGTTCTTCATTTTGGTGGTCATGACTCGGAGAGCCAGGATTTGACGAAGGATCAGTACATCTGGCTTGCTGGTGTCTACCTGGACCTCTGGGTTACTGCCCTGGTTGACTAACCCATTGCCGGTGACTGCAAACAAGTACCTGCCATGAGAAATGACCCCGGAGGGGACGGCGCTCATCAATAAAACAGGACCGCAGACGTTCCTGCCTACGTGCTGGACTTTGCCACTGGGCACAACTAACTAGTTCTCCAATTCCTAGCAAATTCTTACATTTTTCTTCTGTCTGTGGACATGCCAGATTTCTCCAATTTCCTTTCAGAAAAGCTACGAGGGTTGGTGGGTCAGAAGAAAAACACTGTCAAAACCTAAGTTGATGGGTAGAGAGAGGGATAGGCCCTTTCCAGTAAGAAGACAGGACCAATTGAGGCCACTGGACTGAGGACCACAGCTAAATAGATACCGTGATAATTCAAAGTAACAATTTTGGGGCTACTTGATCCCAGGCTACAGCCCTAATCCAAGACACACACACACACACACACACACAC